TATGATGCAAGAATACATGATGCTGCCGTGATGGGAAGGGTTTGCAAATTGAACTTGTAATCTAGAGGTTGTGGGTTGGGTTTGTTGTAATATCCCAGCGTGGCAGGTAAAATAGCAAGTTTTTTTAAATCTCAAAATCACCGCAGTAAGGCGACTGGAAGCTCGCATGTGGCGTGGTAAGGTGCGGGAGCTCCCACCTCTTCCAAGGAATCTGGCCAGGGTGAAAGCGGAGCAAATGCCCTCTAGAGCAGTGATTCTCAACCGGGTGTACGCCCCCCCCCCCCGGGGGTGTACGTGGCAATGTCACAGGTGAGGTGTTTATAACTGCCTGAAATTATACATACATGCGAGTCATTGGGAATAATAATTTGTGAATCTGCCAAGATAAAATAAATCCATATGATAACCTGGAATGATATAAAAGACCTTGCTAGACTCATTGATCGTAAACAATGTGGGGTTTCAAAGGGTAACCCGCGAGCGCGAACAAATGGCGTCATTCATGCAGAGGGTCCGGTGATTTTTTTTGTTTTCGCTTGCAGTTACTAGCTAGTTGGGATAACTCACAAAATTGACAATTGGTGAAAATGTTCGTGTTCATTATTCATACATTTCTCAACCATGTTGGGCCAGGAAAGTTGGGGTTACTCGGTTGAAACAAAATTCAACAGGGGGGGGGGGGTAACAGTAGCCAAAAAAGTTTGCGAACCACTGCTCAAGAGGGACTCTAAGAGCTCCCTCTAATGGAGGTCCTGCCAGCAGTGATGTGAGCAAGCAATTGCAGGACTGCGCCTTTACCTTATCTTTTACATTACTCTGTTACCAGGCACTCCCTTACTGTTGATTTGGTTGTATATCTGGAATGGATGTCAATATATTTACGACGACGTGCATCGTTATTATCCAACACTTGTTGCGGTGTACTTTATGCATAGCCAAGTGAGGAAAATCTCTCACGGGAGACATTCCAAACTCTCACGTATACTGATGGTTTTATGGTATATTTGTGTATTTTGTATTGTTTGCCGTTTTATTCCTGTGTCATGTACATGCACAATTAATTATTTGCATACATGAGGCATCATATTACAGGTTGCATATTGGTACCGTTATCCGGAGGCACCCAGTTTGATTCCAGGGCAAGGGTGGTATAAACTCTCGAGCGCGAGTTTGTTACGGACAAACACTTCTAAGTGCTGTACGCTCGTTACGTCTGTATTGACGGACTGCCTGCGAGGGGCAGCAGTGTAACACGTGGGTATGTCCACCGCACGATATACTCCAACCCCTGTAATCAGTGTGGTGGATAAGACACGTGACAGTGGAGATTTACAAAACTGCTGTGCATCTCACTGGACCCTTTAAACATTGAGAAGACTGAGATTATATAAGCATTATTTAACTAACATCGTCATCATCTTCCTTCTGGGAAGGGTAAAATGTGCACCATTTGGTGCAGCAAAATCAATAGGGGGGGGGGGGGGGGGGTTGTGTTTTCATTAAGGATTGTTCCTGGGAGAAAAATGTGGAATTTCCAACCTTCGCTGCAGAAATCGAAAGCTGTTGATTGGCCCTCACTGAAGGAAAGTGGGAATTCCACCACTGGCGAAAGACCAGCACTAATTCTAAAAGCATATGTAAATATAGGGATACTTAGACTTTTAACAGGTGTTGTATTGATTAACATTCAGTTACACTTCAAAATGTAAAAGTACCTGATGCAGTATGTACTCTTCATATAAATTGTCTAAATAAGTTCATTCTGGTAATTCTGTAATCCTGGGTTTTGTTACTGGCGACATCGAGGGTCAGATGAGGCCCACGATGGTTCTTGAAAGTGACCCAAGCTATTGAGTGGTCAGAGATATGGTCACGAAGACAATGTAGATTATAGTCTTGGTTCTTTCGGTAAAGTCATGTAGATAGAAAATAAAAAAATGTTTAATAAAAAATAAAAGCTGGCGGATGAAGACCGCTTGTGTTGTGATCGAAACGTCGTGGGTTTTTTTTGCTTTTATTTTTAACTTAATTTAATCTTCATTTTCTGTCTACGTGACTTTACCGAAAGAACCAAGAATAAGAATTCCTGCAGTCATGAAAGAGTGAAAATTTTAAATGTAGATTAGTGAACTGAAACTGATTTAAATTAGATATAGATGACAGTGCTGCAGATAAAAACGATTTGTAAGTTGAAAGATAAATGAGACCTACTAACATAGGGTACACATTCGTGCTCAGGTGTAATGTCACGTGGCGTCATAACATCTGGATGTCATAGGCTTTTAATAGCTGTCCTAGGTATACATATTCTGATGCGTTTTCCAGTTGTCCTTCCAATATATGAAGTGTTTTTATTAACCTTGTCTAATGACCTTATTTGTTCTCATTCAACCCAAACACAAGATTTCAGACTCTTTATTAAATCATAACTTTTCCCCGCAGGTCATTCCATCTGACAACGGTCATATTTTCTGTCATCAGCAAATATGAGATGCTTATGTTTCTCATGAATATGTATGCCTTTTTCTCGAATACAGTCACCAGAACATTATTATTCAGTCGATGTTTATTACTTCGTGAAAAGGTATCACCTAGATTTACTTTTGACACTACGCAAAAAGATAGTAATTTGTGCATAGTGCAAATATATATAAAAACTGCTTCAGACTTTCCACGGAAACACACCGCTCAATATTAATTAGAAAATAATTCTGAACAACACTTAAAGGCATATCCATCACACCGTTCAGTGAAGACCCTCGAATACAGAATGACGTAGGAGGAAGTTATCGGCAGATCCTGTTATCCACACACAGCGCTTCAGTTCGTGCAAGCAACGAAGCGTGGATAGACGCAGATAATCGAACTTAGAAAATCGCAGCAGTTCCAGCTCCGCGCTCTTGACCTGTGAGAGCCACCTCAATGAAAATTGTACATAAGCAGAACTCCGTTTGGTGTCTCCACATTTAAATTAAAAACAACTTTAATCAGAGGTCTATTTAATCTAGATTTGAAGTTTTCGTGACTGCAGAGATCCATACTCTTTGGTTCTTTCGAAAAAGTCACGTAGGTATAAAATAACCCTCCCACTCCTAGCCCCCCCCGCCACTTCCCCTCCCCGGCATTTTTTTGCCGAACTTGTGTCTTGTAGCCTTCACTCCCCCTACACCACATCCCACCCTCCCTGTCTCTCCTCCCTGGCTCCTCCCCCTTCTTTTGCCTATATGGCCTCTTGTTGCAGCAGCCCTTTTGCCCACTTCAGCAATTGTTTCTTGCTGTGGTTGTCCCATCTGATGACGGACGCTTGTGTTGCGCCCGAAACGTCATTGACGTGGGTGTGTGGTCCGGCCCTAATGCGTGCAGCTTCCGTGGGGTCGCCGCAGCCGGTACATGCATCCGTCGCGTCTAAAGCCGATCTTTGTGTCACGTGCTCCTGTTTCATCCCCCCTTAGTCCGAGCCAGTTGTGGTGAGTTGTCCGACGAGCCGGGCTGCATGCCTGCTGATGCGGAGCTACAATTGGCCCTTTCCCAGGCGCCGCATGACCGACGCCTGCACGGGCGTCATTGACGTCAGCTCCACCGCATCAAGCCGAAAGGAGCTCCCCCGCACCCCCGGACACCATCCCGAACGACCCCCTGACATGTCGCCATCACCGGCACCCACGGGTCCCACCGCCTTGGGGGGGCCGCGCTCAAAAGGCGGCCCGGCCATGAGGACCCGGTCCCGGACTCACAGATTTTCATCACCCCCGACTCGCTTACAAGTCACACTCCACATTGAACCAGGCACACGTTGCTCTGACATTATTGCACTGGTTTGGGGGGTACATTTGTTCACGCATCATTGCTTCACCTCTTCGTTGATTAACGCATGTATATGGTGTAAGTTTGTACAAGTGGTTTAGGGTATTTATGATTAGGTTCTTGTTTGTTCCTGTTGAGGCGTGCGTATTTTTTCCCTTTCGTTAATTTACACTTTGAAATTGTTGCCAGCCGAGACAGCTGGGTGCTACGGAGGGGGGGGGGGTGATGTTGCGCCGTAATAAGGCGCTGTGGGCAGCTGACCTGCCACCACGCTCACGGGCCGACAGGGGTGGGGGCTGAGGGGGACCCCCCACCCACCACTTCCTTGCTTTTAGCTTTGTACAACCTTGCGACCTCTGGGTGAAACGCACTTTCTAAGTGTAAATTACGATTATTATAGGCAAGGAGGCCACTGGAGCTTTGCACTTTTAAATCTAGATTGAAAACTCATTTATTTACAACTGCTTTGTGTTTAGCTTGCTGTCCTTCCCCCTCACCATTAACACAGTTGGCTACATACGGTGCGAAAGAAGTTCAACATATATACATATAGGTGTTGCGCCGTAATAAGGCGCTGTGGGCAGCTGACCTGCCACCACGCTCACGGGCCGACAGACCTTCCAGAAGGTTCTAGCGGGGGGGTCATGAGGGGAGGGGTGACCCCGACCTGGGGACGATCGAGGCAATATTCACCAACTCAAGCTCGAAGACATCTGAAGATCTGAAGACCCGACCGGCACCCAGGGACGCTCAACCAAGGCTCCGTTAAGCCGGTTGTAGCGGAGCCGAGGTAGCTCGGACCCCCTGGGACCCTCCCGAGGCCCTCGCTAAGCTAGGGTTTTAGCGGTCCAGGGTGAGTCCCGTATCCTGGGTGGGTCGGTCGGTCCAGCCTTCCCCTAGCCGCCGTCGCCCGGAGTGGGTAGAGTACACTAGAAGGGAGGCTGTCTCCGCCTTCGGCTATCCAGAGTGGAAGGAGCCGTACCCCTCCGTGTTAACAGAGTAGTGGGTAACAGAGTAGTGTTAACAGAGTGTTAAGAGTTGTTATAATAAACGTGTTGCCTCCAGCAGACGTCTCCGTGTGGTTAGTTACAGGACACAGCACGGGCAAGAACACTCCACCAAAACCATGGCCCTATTCCAACGCAGAAATAGCGTTTTTATATTACAGACTAATCAACTGAAGTCGCAGACCGGCTCGTTCGTGTAGCTCCTACATTTCACTCGCTCACGGGAAGTGTTCCACGTCCGCACACTGGTGGAATCGCAGCATGGTGGAGCGCGTGAACGTCTTGCCGCACACGTCACAGCGGTACGGCCGCTCGCCCGTGTGCGTGCGCTTGTGCGACCTCATGTGGCAGCTCTGCGAGAACGTCTTTCCGCACACGTTGCAGCGGTACGGCCGCTCGCCCGTGTGCGTGCGTAGGTGACGCTTCAGGTTGGAGGTGTGGGAGTAGCTCCAGCCGCACAGCTCGCACTGGTACGGCTTCTCTTTGGTGCCCTCCAGCATATCCGCCTTCGGGCGTTTTAACACGTACGGTCCATTCTTGCCAACGGAGGCGGCCCGCTCTCTGTGGATTCCCGGGTTCGTTTTCCTGTTGCTCGATGCAAATGAGCGTTGCTGCTTCGGTGGATGGGATTTTTTCTTGGCGGCAGTTTCTTCACCATATGTTTCAGCCGCCTCTTGCTGAGGCCACGGATAAGGTTGAGTGAACGCAGCGGTTGTGCCCGATGCTGGCAGTGAAGTCACGTTCTGGATCAAGATTCCGGGATGGTCAGCCAAATGATGTTCACCTTTACCAGAAAGTCAATCAAGATGTCATCATGGCCAAAGCCGATGCCACCAATTAGATTTTGTAGCAGTAAAAAAAAGACTACAATGCATTTATGTATTTTCATAACGAACGCCGAGTACAGACTCCTGGGTCCCAAAGACACCAGGTAGTCAGCAATAAATAGCATAATTGAAGCTGTAAAGATAATTAGTTATTGAGCAAGGTTATAAGAACTTGGGAAATTCGACGATAGCAGTGGTATTCCAAAGACAAGCAGTGCAAGGAAAGAAGCAGAGAGCAGCGTTTCCACAAGCAATATGGTGGCAAAAAACAGTGTGGTAGACCCAGTCCTCAATATTGGTGGAGGAATAAATGAGTGAGGTTCATGGGAACATAGCAGGAATGATACAATAAGTGATGAAGTTACTGACCATCAGTGAGCGACTGAATCAGTAAGTGCACATATATATTGTCCATATACTTATAAAATATAAAAATCCTCTATAATATACATACATGTAATGAGCTTGTTATGAGTGGGAAAAGTGATGAGATGCAAGCCCAACATTTAATATCCTATGTTAAAACTACACCTATTGTAAAGATTGATTAGAGATTGGAGGGTATATAGTAGTTTGATTGAAACAAAATCAGCTTTTCCATGGGTCGGCTTGTTTTTATAAATATGTAATCGTAGTTCACATCCCTTTGTTAATCCACTGCTGGATTAACAAAGTGTTCTTCCCAAGTGTCATTCACTGGGGTCATGTGACTGTACTAAAGAGTGGGTTGGCGATGGGGAAGGCGGTGCAGGCACGGGTTCGGATATCACTCGCCAATGAGGTTAGCCCAGGTGGGAATCAAACTCAGGTCGTAGGGTTAATTAAAGCGTTGCGCTAACCATCGATCTGGCCTCAAACCTACTCTCAATGAGAAAAATTTTGCTGGGAGAGGAGGCGATGCGGTGCGAACACAATCTCACGATGATGCTGGCGCTGATCTGCATCGAGTCTCATGTACTTAAAGTCACCCTTTAAACTGCATCAGTGTTGCACGTCTGCAACCTAACTCGATCTCTTACCGAGTTGCTCATTTGTAGCTTGCGCTTCAGAGTTGCACTGCGACGGTTGAGGTATCAGCACGGGATTTGTGAAATCAGTGACGGCATCTGGAAAACGCGTCGGACAAGAACGAATGACGGTCAGACAAGACATGCCACAAAAATGTTTCAGGCAATTTGCGGGCTGTCATTTATGTCTAACCAAATCGCCTAGAATGCACCTGATCCCGTTAGATCTCAGAAGCTAATCAGGCTCTTTGAACCTGGACAGTGGTTGGTTGGTTAACCACCATAACAAGGTTTTTTTATATACTTCGGGGCTACGTGTGGGCAGAAGACGGCAGTGCAGCCAAATTCATTGTTGTACTGCACCGTACTGCCATGTCTATGTTCCACCCGTCATCAACCTGCACTGTGCATCGTGAAGGGTGGTCAAATAATTCCCATGATTCGCAGACTGGGGAGGCCCCTCATCCAGTTGTGGATGGGGAAAAAAGTACATTTCAGATACTTCATGGATGGAAGTCGGGGAGTCATAGGCAGAGTACAGGAAGGTCTTGGAACTGGGTTCACAAAAGTTGCTACATATGGTGAATGTGTTGCATATTTGATTAATGAAGGTAATGGCTGTACCTGGAAAGGGCTCCATTTTAAAAAGGTTCACTGTCAAGTTATGTTTTAAGTCATCATCGACTGGATCTTCTATCTCTCTGGCTCATCTGCAACAAACCCAAATAACACATCGACATGTTTTATACAGACAGTATGGTCGTAATTGATTGAGTGATTATTTTTTATATATAATGGAAGTAAAATTCTAGAATGGCTGAAAATCTCCCAGCACTTGGGAGCAAAATTCCAAACATCATGTGGTACAACCCCACATCACATTGGAAGGCTACAAAATATGAATTTTAGCACAAAAATATAGTTTGGTCTGTGGTCAAGATTAAATGATAAAATCATAACAATTTACGGCTCTTTGCCACTCCAGTGCTGGATGGTGCCCCACGTCACGTTTTTCAATGGGGCTGTTTGACCATACGTCACCTCGGTATCGACATAACTCGAAGCAATTTTGAGCCGTCACTGGAATGGCGAGTTTTGTGCTTGTTCTCTCCTGACATTGTCACTTAATTTCTAAAATTGACAAATCAGAAGAACATTACTTTATAATGGATGCTGCCATGGTGTAATGCTTGGCACACAGGACTTGCAATCCAGATTTTTGCCAGTTCGACTCGATCTGCGAGAGTGCGACAGCTGAGGTGATAGCTTGAGTTTCTTAAATCACGACGCCTCTGTCTAGCCAGCAGAATGGGTACACCACAGTCCATTGGCAAGCTGCGTGCGGTGGGATAAAGTGTACCTTATCTCACCTCTTGCAAGATCTCTGGCCAGTGTGCAAGACTAGGGCATGTTCTCTATGAGGGTTCTCTAGAGTTCCCTCTAATGGAGCTCCTGCCAGCAGTGGCGTGAACAAGTCATTGCAGTTTGCACCTTTATACATTTTATCTGTAATATTAGCAGCCAGCATGTCCTTTTGGATATGAACGTCCATCCCTCCAGCCAGCATATATTTTTTTCCAATATAGCATGATTGTATGACAGTGTATCCCGTGCATTTGCACAGGATACACGTCCAGGGTGGAGGGTGCATGGGGGGGGGGGTGTGACGTCAGCACACACACCCAGCTCAAAAGCTGTGGGTTGCGGATGACGTCACCACCGCGCCCGATCACTTGGCTGAGCGCCAGCCAGGAATCCCGGCAGGAAACCAGCCAGAAAAGTGTTTCTTATGTAGTATGATAGTATTACTGACAGGGTAATGTATAAATACCATGTATTAGATCATCTTCCATTTCAGCTGTCAAATCTTCTTGACTGAACACATCTGTGTCTAACGAAGCTTTAGGATACTGAACTCCATCCCAATCACTCAGCCTCTGCACGGACAGCAGCAGCTCCCGGCTCAAGCCTTTGAACAGGGCGAGCAGCACTTCCACCAGGCCTCCCAGGGTCACGTCGCCAGGGGCGGAAGCGGCAGCGTTGTCCCAGTGCGGCGTCCCAGCGTCGTGGTGCTCGGCGCCCTGCAGGGCCTTCACCACCTGCCGCAGCACGGCGTAGAAACCGAAGGGCAGGCGGTCGCGCGCCGCGGCCAGCAGCTCGGCCCGCACGAGGCCGTCCCCGACGCAGGCGCGCAGGACCCCGTAGTCCCGGATGCCCAGCTCGGAGTCCATGGCCCGGGCCACCTCCGCGTTCACGCCCTGCGCCTCCAGCCACGCCGGGAAGTCCCCGCTAGGCTCCAGCACCGGGGTGGCCACTGCACACGCCATTCTGTACGATTCGTCTGTGGGGAGAAGATTCATTGGTTTACATTCCGCAGTAGAAGCGGAACAATACCACACCTCATATGACCTCCAAATACTCCAAATGAATACAAAACCTACCTGTCCTCCAATCCCATCACGACCTCCCCCAGTCCAATCCCAGATAACTTCCTGAACCCGCTCACTATATTCAAGCCCTTTGATGGACTCGCCCCTGCCTCTCTCTCCCATTTAATCTCCCCTGTACTTCCCACTCATCTCACTCTGCTCTCTCCACACACTCTTAACCGCTCAACTCACCATACCCCCCCCCTCCACACACACACTCTCAGCTCCAATAACCAAGGATTTTTGTCCCAAGTTCCCAGTCAATCCTTTGCCGAGTGGAAGGATGTGCCCACTTTCCTCTGCTGACCCCACGATCTGGAACTCCCTTGTATGTACCTATGTTGAACATCTTTTGTGCCGTATGTGGCCAACCGTGCTAATCAGCGGTTCGATTAGCATTGTCGAGTACAGGGACTCCTCTACTTAGGAACATTCGACTTACGAACTTTCAGATAATATGAACCTGCCCGTATGTCCAGTTGCCTGTTCAGACCTAGAGTTGCAAGTTCAACCGCTACGCAACAGATGGTGGTGGCGGCGGCATCTACATCTGCAGAACATTAAGAACCAGCTGCATCTACATCTACAGATTACACAACTTTTAAATCCATTCCCCGTGTTTAGTGCACACATCGTACAACGCGTTTAGAATCGACGGGAGGTAAAGTTGGACTTACGAAACAGGACCTCTGGAACCTAACTCGTTCGTAAGTAGGAGGAGTTCCACGTACTCTCTGGCCCTGTTCCAAGAAACCAGCGACTATTTTTTTTGTTGTTTGCTGCTGCTGCACATGACTGACTGCTTCATAGTTCTTCTATTCACGATAAAAATGCCTCCTTTCGTCCAGGATCTTCGTGTACCGCTCCTTGTTTGGGGCAATGTCTTAAAATGCGACTGCACGTGTACGATGATAAAATCACAGATGGGGGGGGGGGAGGGGACGCGCCCGATCTCGTGAGATCCCAAGCCGGAATACGGTTGTCCTAGAATTCTACTTGTACAGGTGACCACCAGGCAGAGCGCAGGTGTTATATAGGCTGCGGTGGAGGGGGGGGGGCACACGGGAGACAGCAAAGAACTGGGCATTTAAAAAAAAAGTTGTGTACTGTATTATGATGCTGTCCGACATGTACGGTGAACTTCTTTCGCACCGTACGTGGCCAACCGCGCCTATCCGACTTGACAAGCCCGCACTGAGCAGCTATGGCGATAGAGGGCCCCTCATCCAGCAGTGGAGTGACAGGGCCGAATTGGCGTTTCCAAACATTATAACGTTGTTTTAATCACCAAATTAAAAAAAAATACCTTTTGCAAGTAATCAAGTTCCGCATTTACCCATTCATGTCAACTTCCTTATCAGTGCCCTCTCTTATTACGGACCAATTGAGACCTTACTCATAATAAAGGTTTTTGGGTTAGGTCGCGTTAAAGTAGTGAACTAATTGTCTTTTGTCAACGTGACACTTTATTTTGCTGATTGGCCGTGTCGGGTGGTGGAGGGTTTCGACACATTTATAAACAACGCGATCTAACCCAAAAACCTTTATCATGAATAATATTGGTCGCGAAAGCCTGCGTGTTATAAATTGAGACCTTACTGGTCACCACGTTGCCGTTATGAATCTGAACATTCAGCCTACAAAGTCCCATTAAAAAGGGAGAAACTCAAATAGACAATTTACTTTGCCCGTTATGAACCTGCTAGTACGCCAGTATGGACCTGAATACTGTACTAGATGTCCCCTGTACAAGAATACGGTACGGGTTGACGAGTTTGCATACAGTAACACCGCGTTTGCATTTCATAGACCCGATAGACCTCGGGCGGTTTGTATCTCGCAGACCGCACTGACGTGCCAGCGGTCGCATCTCACGGAAGGGCATCGTGGGGCCCCTGGCTCGGTGTCTCCGCCACTCACGTAGCTCAGCCCTGGGGAGAAGAACGAGGAGACGGCGCTGCCCCTTTGGTTTTTTTTTGTCTTCCTGATTCCGCGCGAGTGAAGAAGGCCCCAGCGCAGAGCGCGGAGCGCGAACGCGACCTGCCCAAGAGGCGGGAACCCGGAAAAATGAATGAGGCGGGGCCCACACGCCCCGCACCGCCCACACGCCCCGCACCGCCCACACGCCCCCGCCCCGCCCACCCGCCCCGCACCGCCCCCCCGCCCCGCACCGCCCCCACGCCCCGCACCGCCCACACGTCCCACCCCTCGCACACGCCCCGCCCACACGCCCCGCACCGCCCACACGCCCCGCACCGCCCACACGTCCCACCCCTCCCACACGCCCCGCCCACACGCCCCGCACCGCCCACACGCCCCGCACCCCCACCCCGCACACGCCCCACACCCCCCACACCCCCACCCGCACAGGCCACACCCCCCCCCCCACAAGCCCCACACACCCCACACCCCGATTCCGTATTTACGCCATAGTACATCATCCAGTTTTTTGTGTGTTACATCGCGTAAATGTAAATGTGTTACATTTGGGTTCTTTCGGTAAAGTCACGTAGAAAGAAAATAAATTAAATAATAGAACAGGTACAAATGAAAGCGGAAACAAACCTAGTAAACTTAAAAATGTAATGCAATACTACACAGAGAGTCGGCTAACATAACAGTCAACACCCTACCTGGTTGATTACGTTACTGTTATGTTAGCCGACTCTTTGTGTTGTATTGCATTACAATTTCTAAGTTTACTAGGTTTCTTCATTCGTACCTGATGATGATTGCTTGTGTTGCAATCGAAACGTCGTATTTTATTTTTTAATTTATTTTCTTTCTACGTGACTTTACCGAAAGAACCAAAAGTAATTCCTGCAGTCACTAAAAGCTCCAAATCAAGTGTACATTTTTGTAAAACACGCCACGATTACCGAATTAATAACCCTACCGGTAATAGATATTGATTGTAATCTATATGCATACATTAACCCCCCCCCACCTAACTCTACCATTCGCACCTGATTGGGTCACAGGTGACGACTTTTATCCCTCCATTTAAGAAACTAAACAATCTGGCTGTCGCCTGATGAAGCTAGTTGTAATTATTGGCGAAACGTCGCACTCCAATTGGGGAATGTTGTGGTTTACTCTCCAACACACCGGTGTTGCTGTTCCAGTAATTAATTGGCACGTTCTCGTTACGTGACACACCTTACTAATTGGCCGCGTCGGGGTGGTGACGAATTTAACGACACATTTATATTTACGCGATCTCATCCAAAAAAACATGACATCATAACAACAGTCTGGACCACTGGA